TATACCTTCTCTTTTCTATGATCAAATTTCAAATTTCAATCATTGAATTGCATTGTCTTGTAAAATTAATTACACACATACATATACCTTTTGATATTTTTAACTCCTCTTCTTAATGTGAAGATTTTTCAAGATTCACATTTCTAGCTTTTGTGCTTTCCAATTCATTTTAAACTTCATTTTCCATTGTGCAAAACAGACTTCTGGACTCACGTATTCCTACCCTATTTAAGGGCCAAATTCTCTTTTTAAACAAAAGGAAATCTCAGTCCTCAGCCTCCAGGATTCTACTGTGATTCCCTCTCCTTCACTATTACTTTCCTCTGAATTTGAAGGCTCCAGCCAATGCCTAGGCTGAGAGCATATGCTCAGATTCTAAGAAGATTCTGGTGTTGTGCCAGAGGATGGTACAGAGGAGATGCTGGCTGCAAATTCTGAAAGAGGACTGGCCATGTTGTTTGAAGAAATAGGAGAGGGGATAAGGAAGAGCAATACCCAACAGGGTAAAAAAAATAGTCTTTCAGAAAGGGACGGCTCAATTTATTTTAAAAGGAAAGAAAACTCAGGGATGAATAGGACTCTTCCAATTTGTTGTGATACTATCAAATATAAACAGACTAGCTTTTTAATGACTTTTTCTACAAGCAGGTGTAGCTCTTAACTGAGGAAGGTCATTGGACAGTTAGACTGACTTCTAGTGCTGGCTCTGAATGTATTGCTGCAAATACACTGGGCATTTAACCTCACTGGGTTGTTTTCCATCTGTAGAATGAAATAACTGGGCAAGATAATCTCAGAGTTCTTTCCCACTTTTATAAAGATGTATCTTTCTAATAATCTTTTTTTGTTTGAAGATTTGTCCCTCCAGGCATTTGATAACTGATAAATTTTAAATCTCTAATAGGAGAGATAGCAAGTTCTAAGGGGACTTGCTTCTGAAGAACTCCTGGGAACTTCACACAGTCACCAGTGTTTCCTAAGAAGGCAGAGAAACCAAGTATGTGGTCTTTTTCTCCAAACAAGCACTCTCAGGTCATCAGGACTTCTTGAATAATGATACATGTTAATTCTAGATGCTTATAACAGAATGGGTGGGCCCTTCTTCACTTATCTTAAATACTCCTGATTTTATATATATATATATATATATATATATATATATATATAATTAGGTTATCATTAGGAAGCACAAACTTGTGGAGAAGGTATTGTTAAGTTCAATTTCTCTATATATTTGTGAGGACTTCTATTTTGTTTCTAACATGATCTGCTGCTGCTGCTAAGTCGCTTCAGTCGTGTCCGACCCTGTGCGACCCCATAGACGGCAGCCCACCAGGCTCCCCCGTCCCTGGGATTCTCCAGGCAAGAACACTGGAGTGGGCTGCCATTTCCTTCTCCAATGCATGAAAGTGAAAAGTGAAAGTGAAGCCGCTCAGTCGAGACCAACTCTTAGTGACCCCATGGACTGCAGCCCGCCAGGCTCCTCCATCCATGGGATTTTCCAGGCAAAAGTACTGGAGTAGGGTGCCATTGCCTTCTCCGCTTACATAAGCAATTTAGTGATTATTTCTGGACAATTTACTCTTCAAATATTCTTTGAGATTTTTATATGTGCCAGCCTGTTTTAGTCAAGTGACACAGTGTTGGACAAAGCAGAAAGTGTACCTACGTAATGAACTTTAATTTTTACATTTTACAAAAAGCTATAAATATTATAAATAAGAAAAGCAAAATACTGACTGGAGGTTAAAGGGGTGTTTTTAATCAGTTACTTCCTAATTTTTTAGAGGTGGACCTGTCAGCTGAACCACCATGCCAAAACTATACCCACTCCATACTGTCAAACCCCTCTGCCATATCCACTATTTATTTGCCTAAAGTCTTAACTTTTCTTCATATCAGTGACTATTTTCCCTAAAATTTTATTATCACTTTCCATCCTTTCAGGAAAAAAGTACTAAAATAGTGAATGGAAATGCAAATAAAGCTCACACTCTTAGGTGTTCATAATGTATTAATGTGTGTTAATGTAAACAATGACAGGCAATTTAAGCAAAGATGTGCAACATTGCACCAATGTCTCTTTTAATTATCATTTTATCCTCTTTATTTGTCCTTTAGAATTCTTATTATTCTTATTATTCCATCCTCTGCCTTCCTTCACTCCCTTTCTAATCTATTTTCATTCTTCCTCTTCTTTAGATCTTCTTTCCTGCCTATTCCTTTGACATGTTACTGACTGACTTCACCACACTACTATGCTTATAGCTCCATGTTTTATATTGTAATTATACCATTTTAGCATAATTAAAGATCGTCAATAAATTTAATTACACTTTTAAATGGAATCTTGTAGTCTTTAGGCTAATAGACTCAAAGAGTATTGTATTTTCCTCTTTAAAAAACTTAATTATCACTCACACTCCAAGACAAGCACCATTTCAGCAGTACTAAGCTAATACAGGAGGAAATTTTCAAATATGACAAATCAATTTAAAGAAAACTTCAGTTGTTTTTATAAGATGAAGCACCCACTTTAACAATGACGGAGACTTAAAGAATTGAGTTTGTATGTTTTATGTTAGTTTTATAGGATAAAATCTTTGATCATAAGCTGTCAACATGATTCTTAAGCTTCAGCTTTATTACTCCAAGACAGTGAATTGAATGGTGAGATCAGGAAGTCAACAAACACCTTCTGCTCAGCAGAATAGAGAGTATTGCCATGAAGTCTTCTAGGGATGACTTTCTGAACTCTATAATGCTTCCCAGATTCAATTCCACTCCCCAAATTCTTTGTCCTTACACCCCTGTGACCTGGGTGATTTAAATATGGATATGAAGTCCATTGATAATTGAATGAATAAATTTAAAATGGTTAAACATAGTTTTCAGAGAAAACGCTAGGAAGGGTGTTTAGAACATCTAGGTGAGAGAAGGTAGAAGTCAATAGAAAAATTAATCAAGAGGCAACAGAAAGAATAGTATATTGCTGAAATAGGAAGTTAATCAAAACTTTCCTATTTCCACCATCAAAATCCAGATCCATCAGGACACTATACTTACTTATCTATATTCTGCCCTAATACTATCATCTATTAATCAATTCTGAAGTTTATGAAAATGTCTAACTGGATGAGAGAAGTATTAAAGTCCTTTACTTCCCCAGCTAGTCTCCTATTAATTACAAGTTAATCTTTGCTTTTAAACCTTCTTAATAAATCATCCTTTAGCTCTCTATGCTCTTGGATGTTTTTATCAAAAAATCTAATATAAATATGGTAGCTATACTGAAAGATATTTAAAATCTAAAGGATTTTTCAAGTTCTAAAAAATAAAAGTCAACTACTGTACTGTGCAATCTGTTTACTTTTCTTGCACTTAATATTATAAATAAAATTCTTACTAGTGCTATTATAAATTTCTATTAACGCTTATTTTGATAACTATAATATTTTCCTTCATAACAGAATTAAACCTAATGTTTGACATCTAAATTGTTCAAAGCTTTTTCAGCTGTAAAGTATGACAAACATATTTATGCAAAAATCATTTTCGATACAAATAGAATTCCACAAGGAGTACTACTGCACCAGGTGGTACAGATTCAAGCTTCTTGACACATGATTTCAAAATATTTTCTTTAATAATCTTTAGTTTCTTTTTTAATTGGTGGAAAGTTGTTTTATCCTGTTGTGTCGGTTTCTGCCATACTCATGCACGCTCTTGAGCCTCCCTCCGCTCCCCCGAACCCCCACCTCTAGGTCATCAAGGAGCACCAGGCCGGGGTCCCTGTGTTATATAGCAACATCCCACTACCTAATTTACACATGACAGTGTATATATGTCCATGCTACTTTCTCAACTCGTCCTACCCTCACCTTCCCTCTGTGTGTCAAGTCCCTTCTCTGCTATATTCATCAGTACCATTTCAAAATATTTTCTTAATTTTAGATTAGCCTATATTTCTATCAGTGGTGTATGAATGTGCCTATTTCAATGAGTGTTGGTTTTGACAACAATAACTATAAAATGGTTTTAACTTAATAGAAAAATAATAGCTTTATATTTTATTTGATTTGATTTCTGAGAAATATATATATATGCAAAAATACATAAATAGTTTACTTTTCTGAATTCTCTCTACATATCATTTGCCCATTTATCTATTAGGCCTCAGAGGTTTTATTAAATGATTTGAACTTTTTATAAATATGAAGATATCAATCTTTTATCTGTCTATGGTACTTCAAATTCACATGAGATGTTTAAGGTAGATTGTTTTTAAGTACATGTTGGAAATAACCTTCAGAGGTATCTTAACAGTTATTATGCATGTCTATACTCATTTCTGTGTGGTGACTCAGATGGTAAAGAATCTGTCTGCCATACAGGAGATCCAGGTTCAATCCCTGGATCAGGGAGATCCTCTGGAGAAGAAAATGCCACCCACTCCAGTATTCTTGCCTGGGGGATTTCATGCACAGAGGAGCCTGGTGGGCTGCAGAGGTCACCAAGAGTGGAACATAACTGAGTGACTAACACATTTCATATTCATTTCTAAGTTCAATTTAACTTTATTTTTCATGATTATATTGATTAAAAGGTTATCTATTTTTTTAATCATTTTATATGCTCTTATACCCTCTTCCAATTTTCTGGGATTCAGTATTTTTGTTTTTAACTTTTATTATTTTACTTCATCTGTATTCCTTGAGTTTATGTTATACATTCTTTTCTAACACCATAAATCATCTGACTGCTCACATATTTAAATAAATATGATCATTTAAAGCGAAAGATTGTCTCTGAGTGCAGCTTTGTTGTACTCAATATTTTATGCCCTGGTTCCCATTATTTTGTAAGTAGTCTATTATCAATTAAGTTAAATGACCAATTTTAAATTATCAACATTTAACACAACATTTAAGTTGTATTAAGTTGATCCCGCCTTTCTTTTGTTGCAGGTCACTTGACAGTCCTCTCTTCTTTATGATTCAATGGACCAAGTAAATGGCTCTGTGGTAACAGAATTTGTGTTACTGGGACTTACACAATCCTTAGGGATGCAGTTTTTACTTTTTCTCTTCTTCTCTGTATTGTATTTGGGGATTATCCTGGGAAACCTCTTCATTGTGTTCACAGTGATTTTTGATTCCCACTTACATACACCCATGTATGTTCTGTTGGCCAACCTATCACTCATTGACCTAGCCCTTTCATCCACCACAGTTCCTAGGATGATCTCTGATCTTTTCAGTGACTGTCAAATCATTTCCTTCCACAACTGCATGCTACAAATATTCTTTATCCATGTCACAGGAGGAGTGGAGATGATGCTGCTCATAGCCATGGCATATGACAGGTACATAGCAATCTGCAAGCCTCTCCATTATCTAACTATTATGAATCCCAAAATGTGCATGTTTTTAGTAGTTGCTGCTTGGATAACTGGAGTGACTCATGCTGTGTCTCAGTTTGTCTTTGTCATAAATTTACCCTTCTGTGGACCTAATAATGTGGGGAGCTTTTATTGTGATTTCCCTCGGGTTATTAAGCTTGCATGCACAGATACTTACAAACTAGAATTTGTAGTCACTGCCAACAGTGGCTTCATATCTATGGGCACCTTCTTTCTATTAATTATATCATATGTCTTTATTCTGATCACTGTCCGACAACATTCTTCAAAGCATTTATCCAAAGCGTTCTTCACTCTGTCAGCTCACATCACTGTAGTGTTTTTGTTTTTCCTTCCATGCATGTTTCTCTATGTATGGCCTTTCCCTACAAAGTCACTGGATACATTTTTTGCCATTGTGGACTTTGTTGTCACCCCCGTCTTAAATCCTGCCATATATACTTTAAGGAACAGAGATATGAAGGTGGTAATGACAAGGCTAAGTCAACAGCTTGTAAATTTTAGGGAAGTGACATGAGAGATTTCATTGATGAGAGCACAAGATGAATGTCATGGATCATCAAGACCCTCGTGGTCACCATGAACACTATAGAATGTGCTCATTTTCATTATTGCTTTTGAAAAACTGAGAAGTTGGTGCTTCACTAGTGGTTCAGTGGTAAAGAGTCCACCTGCCAATGCAGGGGACATGGGTTTGATCCCTGATCCAGGAGGATCCCACATGCTGCAGAGCAACAAAGCTCATTGACCACAACCGCTGAGGCTGTGCTCTAGAGCCCACATGCTGCAACTACTGAAGCCTGCATGCCGGAGAGCCTGTGCTCTGCAACGAGAGAAGCCACAGCAATGAGAAGCCCATGAACCACAATTGGAGAGTAGCCCCAGATTGCCTCAACTAGAGAAAAGTCCACACAGCAACGAAGACCAAGCACAACCAAAAATAAATAAATAAAATTATAAAACAGAACAAAAAAAGAGAAAATACAAAAAATACATTAAAAATACATAAAATAGATAAAATACATTAAAAAAACAAAAAAGAAGGTATTGAATCAAGGAATTTCATTTACATAGAGTTGTAGCTTATATTTCTATCTAAACTCCAAACCTAAACTGTAGTTACCACTAATGGCTGCATTCAATATTCATGTGGACCTTTTACATCTACATATAGATATGTACATGTGTATATGTACATGTATATATGTGTGTATACATACATACACATACATACATACATATACACACATATATATACACACATACATACATATATATATATACACATACATATATACATACATATAGGGCTTCCCTGGTGGCTCAGAGGTTAAAGCATCTGCCTGCAATGCAGGAGACCTGGGTCAATCCCTGGGTCGAGAAGATCCCTGGAGAAGGAAATGGAAACCCACTCCAGTATTCTTGCCTGGAGAATCCCATGGACGGAGGAGCATGGTGGGTTACAGTCCAAGGGGTCACAAAGAGTTGGACATGACTGAGCGACTTAACTAACTAATACATACATATATACATATGTATATATGTACATATGAATATACATATGCACACATATGTACATACATATATACATTATGTGTGTATATGTGTATATGTGTGTGTATATATATGTATTACACATACATATATACATGTGTGTAAATATATATATATACACCTATACATGCAATTTAACTTCATCAGTATCTTCCATTTGATAACAAGCATTGTTGGAAATCAATTAATACTTCTTATGGAAATTATGTAGATCCAAAGATAAAATATAGGTTTATGTAAACCAGTAGACGTTAAAATTGAGGAAGAAGCAATTCTCATCATAATTGTATTTTAATTAGATAAATAGGAAGGTCAACACTATGACACTACATTAAGACTTAAAATTGCTTTTAGACTTTGATAATGTATTTCATACAATATTGTTTTAGAAACAGATTCTAGTATTTTATATAGGCAAAATTTTGCCTATTTTACAGTTTTTTTCAATATTTGTTTTCAAAGCATATCTTGATTCATTCTTTAAAAGTATCTACACTTCTGTAAGTATTTGAAGGGACTTATTTACTAGAGAAGGATACTAAATTCAGATCTCAGCTTCTTTAATGTGTTCATTTTTAGGTAAGGGCTCTTAGGACAAAGATGATTGGCAACATTCAGGTAAAATCTGGAAAGTCTGTTGGTCATGGAGCACAGCTGAGAGAGCATTTGGATTCTTTCTATAACTGATTTAAGGAACATTAACTGTAATAAGTCAGTTCAGTTTTAACCACTGTATGGTAATTAAAGCTACTCAATAAAAATGATAAATAATAAAAACTTAGACTTATTATTTGTCAAGGTATTTTTCCTATATTTTCTCCACAAATTTTAAGCTATCTGCTTTCTATAAAATCTAAAACATTATTATTTGTTTCCTTCTTAACATGTCTGAATTTTAGTTGCACAATTTTATCAATTTGTTTTACTATGCTTCTTTAAAAATTTACCTTTAAATTCAGTGAGAGTCATAGAAGTACCTGAGTTAGCCAAGAAACTGTGACATTAGCCCTTAAATCAAGAAGATTTTGTGTATTTCCTCAGGGGAAAGCTTGTGAGACTATAAGAGTTAGTCTCAATACCCAAAGTTCAGGATGACTACTTTCAGATCTCTTCATCTGCCTCTGGTCACTTCCATAAATGGTTCTTAATTAATGAAGTCATTTGCTGAGGAGGATAGTTTATATCAATTTTCTTCTCTTGGAAATTGTATACTTCATGAGAAAGTGCAAATAAAAGAAAAGTCTACACACCTTGCTCTGAAAATTGCTGTAGTGTCTTCCAGTTATGAAGGAGGTAGGTAGAATGTGAAAGTGAAATATATTAGCAGAATTAACCAAACTGTAGCATTTGTATTGACAACAAAATGCTTCTATTAGTAATAACCCATTCTACAGAATTCAATTTTATGTGCATTTTTCAGGAAAAATGGAAGAATCCCGAGGTTGGTGAAAAGAAAAATTCATTTTGCTGAAGAACAGTATATTTGAATTCTTACTTGTTACCATGGTAAAAATCTTTTCACTGCAAATGATAACACTTTGCTAAACCTATACTGACATAACTATCCAGTTTGTCCTCTTATCTCAGTGAAATGATTCCACATCAGTAAATATCCAAAGAAAATACTAAATCACATTCCTTGACTTTAAAGAAATATCCAAATCAACCAGTCATGTCAGAAATGATCTCACAATAGGAATCCCATCCTCTTTATTGTCAATGACAAGTATGATTATATTTGTCCTAAGCAGAAGGGGACTAAAATGACTATTATGACTTGTTTTACTACTAGGCATCTCTTTATATCTGGAAGTAAATTATAATTGCTAAATATTTATAGGATTTTAAAAACAGTAATATGGAGCTTGAGGATAGGGCTATGGAATGGATAATGAAGAAAAAAATGCAATTTACAAGGACTGTGGAGTAACTGATTAAGTAGAGAAAACATAATATTACTCCCCCAAGAAATTTGATGAGCCATACCCTATCCTTTCATGACTCCTTGAGACCCGCCAATTTCCTCTCCTCTCTTTTATAGCTTCCCCTTCAAGCTACCATTCCATTTTCTACTTCACTTACTGCAAAACTTCTGGACTCCCAAATATATATATGAAATGACTTTCACAACTTACATCCAAAGACCACTCTTCAGGCTCTTAACTTTCAAGTAGCAACTTACAAAGATATTCCAACAATACCTCTACATTTTATTATCATCATCCTTTACTTCCTTCCAAATGTATTACTTCTTCTAAAAATGACCTATATGTTATACATTGCTATGCTAGATCTTATTATAGCTATTATCAGAATTAAAGCTGTGACAGTGTTCACAATTACTCAGAATTTAAAAATTAGCATCATTTTTTTATCTTATACATGTGTTGACACATGTCCTGTTATTACTACTTTTTATAATGGTTATTATTAACTGCTTACCATTTGTTAGAAATTGATTAAACAATTGCTCATAATTCTGCAACAGTTTTTCATGTCAATATAATAAAACAAGAATCCTATAATAGGCATTCTAGAATTCTTTTCCAAATTCATTTCCTATTAAAATTTCTTCACATTTTATCTCAGCAAATATTTTCCTCACTTTTAAATTTTTATTTTTTTTTAATTTTATTTTGTTTTTTAAACTTTTTTGGCCACCCCACACAGCATGTGAAATCTTAAGTTCCCCCATCAGGGATCAAACTCGCATCCTCTGCAGTGACATTCTCTTGCTTTTTAACTTCTTTCTCTCATTTTTAAACCTTATTTTTGTGTTGTTATTCTTTCCTTATATTTTTCATCTTTAATTTTATTTTGGCATAACTCTTTCTTCTAAGCATTTTCATATTACCAAATGTTAAATATCAATTCTTTCCTCTATAAATTCTTATAATTCCTAGTTTCTCTTTCAGAATTCTCATAAATGTAAAGTTCCCATAAGACTGAATCTCTACGTCTGTCTTAGTTTTCATATTGCTATCCAAGCTCCTGAGAGATTATGACAATTATTTTTAAATTATGTCCCTCCCTCAATCCTGATAGAGTATTGGATTAGTGGGGATTTAGAAAAATATTGATCCAATGCAGTCATTTAAAAGATATGGAAACTAAACCTTGCTATGATAATTATTTTTAGAACAAATATACTTTTAAATGATTATTGAGACAGGGTTTTTCTATGAATCAGAGGTGATAACTCTCACTACTAATAATCATCTAAATCTATTTGTAATTACCAAATACAAAAACTGCAAAATATTTTATATTTAGTATTTCAGTTGAAATTCATAATAACCATAAAAAAGAATAGTATTAGTAATAGTATAATTAGTATTTGCATTTACAAAATGACAAAAGAAGTCTTAAAGAGGATGAATTCAAGATCCACAGATTCACACAAAAGCCATACACTATGATTGCCTCACAATTAAATTGTGAATGAGGATTTGTTTTAGTTTAACAGAGAAGTTTCCAATAACTGTATACAAGATTATTGTGATGAACTATTGGGCTACTAAAAATACCTTCTCAAAAATGCATGTCATGAAAAGCCTTTGTAGATGTGACAATCATAGAGTTTTGTATGTATTTAAGAGTTATGATATGGTCCAGAGAATATGAACTGTTTTGGAGTTCAGTGAAAGAGGACATAAATGCATGGTGAGGGTATAAATTTAATCTGGCAAAGAGGGTAACATGAAAAAAGCATTTTATTAGGAATAAGCCTAACATAAGTGAAAACACTAAAGCTTTGACAACTGGACTATAAAGCGTATTCAGGCAAAGAGTGTGTGATAAAATTGAGTTTAGATTGTAGGCATTTTAAATTCCTTTATGTAACAAAGCACAGAATGTCATCATGAGTGTGAACATAATGACACAAATTGGGGATCTGAATTTGAATATAATATTTCTGACTTTCTTCTCACTCCATTCAAGGTAACTGCAGAGGATATTTCCTGGAATGAATCAATAAGTGAAACAAATCACTCCACAGTGACTGAGTTCATTTTTCTGGGACTCTCCAATTCTCAGGAACTCCAGATTTTCCTATTTGTGTTCTTTTTTGTATTCTATGTAGGAATTGTGTTTGGAAACCTTCTTATTGTCATAACTGTGACTTCTGATTCCCACCTTCACTCCCCCATGTACTTCCTGCTGGCCAACCTCTCACTCATTGACCTGTGTCTGTCTTCAGTCACAGCCCCCAAGATGATTGCTGATTTTTTCAGTAAATGTAAGGTCATCTCATTCAAGGGCTGCCTTGCTCAGATATTTCTGCTTCATTTCTTTGGTGGGAGTGAGCTGGTGATCCTTATAGCCATGGCCTTTGACAGATATGTAGCAATCTGTAAACCCCTCCGCTATACTACAATTATGCGTGGCAATGTATGTGTTGGCTTTGTGGCTGCTGCGTGGGGAACTGGCTTCCTCCACTCAGTGAGCCAGTTGGCCTTTGCAGTGAACTTACCTTTCTGTGGTCCCAATGAGGTAGACAGCTTTTATTGCGACCTTCCTAGGGTCATCAAACTTGCCTGCACAGATAGCTATAGGTTGGATATCATGGTCATTGTTAACAGTGGTGTGCTCACCGTGTGTTCTTTTTTTCTCCTAATCATCTCATACACTGTCATCTTAGTGACCATCCAGCATCTCCCTTCAGAGGGGTCATCCAAGGCTCTGTCTACTTTAACTGCCCATATCACAGTAGTTCTTTTGTTCTTCGGACCATGTATCTTCATTTATGCCTGGCCATTCCCCATCAAGTCACTAGACAAATTCCTTGCTGTCTTTTATTCTGTGGTCACTCCTTTCTTGAACCCAATTATATACACACTGAGGAACAAAGACATGAAGACTGCAATGAGACAGCTGAGAAAATGGAATATCAACTCTAGGATAAAGCCTTAGATCTCTTATAAAATTAATCTGTAAGATTAATCTGTAATAATGACATATTATATAGCATCAGTAAGTTATTTAGAAAATTAATGAAAAATTATATCTTCCATTTCATTCCTTATCAACTGTCAAAGAATATTTACATAAAAAGCCTCATTTTTATTGTCAAGATTCTTTGACAATCTTGTTATGCTTTTGAATACAGAGGCAAACTTAACATTTTACTTTGAAAATATGACTTCACTAATTCTCCTAACAATTAAAGGCATAAAAATGTTAGCATTTGTACACTCCTGGGCCTTCTTGGATGGTCTTGAGGGTAAAAGGGAGAAAGATAGAAACCAGGTTGACTTAGGATTTTTTTTTAATTTCTATTTGGCTCATTTTCTCTAAAAACATCAAGAAGCAACTACTATACACCTAATTCAAAAAAATATGCTTAGTGATAATGATATATATGTTAACTTTTAAGAGGTTTAAAAAAGAAACTCCTCCCATTATAACAGTTTAACTACTATCATTGTAACAACACATAATCCATGAATGTATTATTAAGAAAGACAGGAAGAGGGGCTTCCCTAGTACATCAATGGTGAAGAGTCTGTCTGTCAATGCAGTGGATATAGGTTCTATTGTTGGTCCGGGAGGATCCCACATGCCATGGGACAGCTAAGCCCAAGTTCCACAGCTACTGAGCCTGTGCTCTAGAGCCCATGACCTGCAACTGCTGAGCCCACGGGCTACAAGTACTGAAACCCGTGACTAAAGCCCATGATCCACTGTCAGAGAAACCACTGCAATGAGAGCTCACAGCAGGGGCTAAGAGAGTTGCCCCTGCTCACCACAACTAGAGAAAACCCAGATGCAGCAACAAAGACCCAGCCCAGTCATAAATAAATAAATAAATCTTATTTTTTTAAAAAAAAGAATAATAGCAAAAGCAAGTCTGCAAATATAAAATTTGTCTTGTAGGTACATGACATCCTGTGGTATACAACAGCCCATAGCAATAAAACCATTTAGAGAGATTCAAGTCTCTCAACATGTTGACATACTGTGTATCATTTGGATTCATCCTTGTCACTTTTCATGGTTAGCTTTCACAAGCACAGACTTTGAAGTCAAAAAGAGATGGGTTCAACTCTACCTATCCCATACTAATCATGACTTTAAGCATTAGCCCAGTTGGTAAAGAATCCACCCACAATGCAGGAGACCCTGGTTCAATTCCTTGGTCGGAAAGATCTGCTGGAGAAGGAATAGGCTACACTCCAGTATTCTTGGGCTTCCATGTGACTCAGCTGATAAACAATCCACCTGCAATAAAGGAGACCTGGGTTCAATCCATGGGTTGGGAAGATCTCCTGGAGAAGGGAATGGCTACCCATTCCAGTATTCTGGCCTAGAGAATTCCACTTACTATACATACCCATGGGGTCACAAAAGTGTTGGACACAACTGAGTGACTTTCACTTTCAAGTTTATTTCCCATGGATTAATATCCAGAAGAATTTCTGGGTCATATGGTAGATAAATGTTTAATCTTGGAAAAACTTCCATGCTATTTTCTATAATGTCTATACCAACTCATATACCCATCAACAGTGTAACAGGATTTCCTTTTCTTCACATCGTTTACACTTTTTTCACTAATCATACACCTGCTGGCTCTTTGTAGATCTGCTTTGGAGAAATATCTATTCAGGTCTTTGCCCAATTTTAATCAGATTTTTTTTTCTGTTTTGTTTTGTTTTTAGCTATTGAGTTCAATGATTTTAACTCCTTATCAGAAATATGCTATAAAAATATTTTCTCCCATCCTTTCACTCTTTGCCTATTTTCCTTATTATGTATAAGCTTTTTAGTTTTATGTGCTGTTGATTTCAGTTAGCTAATTTTTGTTGAGAATTTTTGCATTTATATGTCTTCAGTAATATTGTTCTGTGGCTTTTGTTTCTTGCAGTGTCCTTATCTGGCTTTAATATCAGGGTAATTCCGATCTATAAGTTTAGGAGCATTCACTCCCTCTTCATTTTTTGAAAAAGTTTAAGAAGATTGGCATTAATTCTTTAAATTTGGGTAGAATTTACCAATGAAAACAATCTAACCCTTAAGTTTTTATTAAAATGCAGTAAAACTAGAAGCTGGAAATAAAGTTGAGAAATGAAGAAAAATCTTGAAATTTAGAAACTTGCACTTAAAAAATACTAAGATGAAAGTGTAAATACAGAGAAAAAAACAAATTTTCTAAATAGTGATAATAAAGCAGTACATACAAAGATAAATGAGATATAGTTAAAGCAGTGATAAGAGAAAACTCACATATATATGAGAAAACTAATATGTATATGAGAAAAATTCATATATATGCATCATGTATATGATAGTCATATACACACACATTGATGAAAAATGAAAGAATTAAATACATGAGTTAAATTGCCACCTCAAATTAAAATCAAAGGAGAAACAAAAAGAAAACACAAGAAAGAAAACAAACAAGGTAAAAATCAAAATAAAGAACCAAAAATGTATCAAATTTGTAAATCAAAAATCTTGTTTTAAACAAATATACAAATTAGACAGTCCATTAGATAGTTTCATTAAAGATAAGAATAAAGCACAAAAGTAGTTAATAAATAGTAAGAGAAAATAATGATTAAAAATCAGCAAATAAAGGTCACTAAAAACAATGCTGTACACATCCATATAAATAAATTTGAAAGCTTTATGAAATGGATAAATATTTCAGGATAATACTTTACTACCGACTGCAGTATAAATATAATACTTAAAATGATGCTAATTTCCATAGAAATAACACAGAAATTTATCAGGGAATTATAACACACAAATATCACACACACACACATCAGGTTTAGATGGTTCCACAGAGAATTCTACAAAACATTTAGAAATCAGATGTGCTGTGTCTTGTGCTTAGTCACTCAGTCGTATCCAACTCTTTGTGAACCCAGGACCGTAAGACTGCCAGGCTTTTCTGTCCATGGGATTCTCCAGGCAAGAATGCTGGAGTGGGTTGCCATGCCCTCCTCCAGGGGATCTCCCCAACCCAGGGATCAAACCCAGGTCTCCCACATTGCAGACAGATTCTTTACCATCTGAGCCACCAGGGAAGGCCATGAATCCTGGAACAGGTAGCCTATCCCTCCTCCAGGTGATGTTCCCAATCCAGGAATCAAACCAGGGTCTCCTGGATTGCAGGCAGATTCAGATAGTCTCACTGAAAATGAACTGTTCCAAAGAATAGGAAAATGAAAATTGCTTCCAATTTTTTTCATGAAACAGCAAAAGTTGTACCCAAATTAAATAAAAATAGTACAAGAGCAAACATTATCAACCAGTTTACTCATGAATATCACAGTCAAAATTTTGTATATAGAATTAGTACAGTAGGCTTCCTTTCTCAAACCATACACAAGAATTAACTGCTAATAGATCTGAGATACAAATGTAAAACATGAAATACAAAATATGAGTAAATTCCTAAAAGTCCTAAATATAATGGAAATCTTTCTATGATACTAAATACAGATGTGATTTTTAATGATAGATTATAATAACAAAGTCTGCAATCCGAAATATTTTTTAAAAACAAATGCAAATTCAGAATACAGAAGACAAACTGGGAGTAAACATTACAACATATATCACAGATAATGAACCAATATTACTAAATGCAGAAATAACTCTTAAAATTGAAAGAGGAAGACCAGACATCTGATAGATTAAGAAGAAGGGGAGAGGGGAGTGACTTCAGGGTAAATGGCAGAAGAGACAACTCCAGAGACATATTACTCTATAGAAACACTGACATTTTAAGCAAAAATTATTAAAATCAACATTTTCAGAATTCTGGAAAGTAGTCAGAAGCTCATAGCCAATAAGTAAACATTGAATAAAGAAAAGAGCAACTTAAAAATGATAGAATATATTTGTGGCATTTTTATTTGCCCTTTCATCATACCCTTTCCCGGAGAAGGTAATGGCACCCCACTCCAGTACTCTTGCCTGGAAAATCCCATGGATGGAGGAGCCTGGTGCGCTGCAGTCCATGGGGTTGCTACGAGTGTGACACAACTGAGTGACTTCACTTTCACTTTTCACTTTCATGCATTGGAGAAGGAAATGGCAACCCACTCCAGTGTTCTTGCCTGGAGAATCCCAGGGACGGGGGAGCCTGGTGGGCTGCCGTCTGTGGGGTCGCACAGAGTCAGACACGACTGACGTGACTTAGCAGCAACAGCAGCATACTCTTTCCTAGCTTATCATTTTTTGTGAAGATGATGGCCCATAGCTGAATAAGACTACAGTCTTTGACTCCAGAGGGAGCAGAACAGACCTTAATTTCAAAGAAATGTGTCTTCTTTTTCTAACCTGTCTGAAAGCCACCTAAAAAAATTATGTAAACCTTTTAAATTTGTTTCACCTAATTCAGAAGTCACTCAAGGTGAAAGAGGGGCAGGGATTCTTCAAAAACATTGTAAGGCAAACGAAAAACCCATAGCCATCTGGGACAATTGAGCCCACCCCTAAAAGCCTGGAAGGAAAAAGTAGGAGCTGGGTTTTTTGGAAATGAAGGTAGTCAAAACAACACCTTTATATTGGGGAATTCAGAAAGCCTGATGGC